CTACTAATAGGCGCCTTGGGTGCAATCCCAAAACAACTGGAGTACCACTTGAACACCATTGGCATTGACAAATTCGCCATTAGTCAATTGCAAAAGGCAGCCTCATTAGGAACTGCTTCCATCCTGCGACGATATCTGTAATACCATCAAACATCCACGTCTGCCTATCCCAGATCCTTGGTAAGGACTCGATAGGTAGGCAAAATGCCAAATCCAGTCTGAACATCTGGCTGACTGTGCGATGATGATGATGATGATAATAATAATAATTAAAAAAAAATTGGAAGGAACCTTGGAGGTCATCGAGTCCAACCCCCTGCTCAGGCAGGAAACCCTACACCATTTTGGACAAATAGCTGTCCAGTCACTTCTTAAAAACTTCCAGTGTTGGAGCATTTACCACTTCTGGAGGCAGGTTGTTCCACTGCTTAATTGTTCTATCTGTCAGGAAGTTTCTCCTTAGTTCTAGGTTGCTTCTCTCCTTGATTAGTTTCCATCCGTTGCTTCTTGTCCTGCATTCAGGCGCTTTGGAGAATAGCTTGACTCCCTCTTCTTTGTGGCAGCCCCTAAGATATTGGAACACTGCTATCATGTCCCCCCTCGTCCTCTTCGTTAAACTAGACATACCCAATTCCAGCAACCGTTCCTTATATGTTTTAGCCTCCAGTCCCCTAATCATCTTTGTTGCTCTTCTCTGTACTCTTTCTAGAGTCTCAGCATCTTTTTTACATCGTGGTGATCAAAACTGGATGCAGTATTCCAAGTGTGGCCTTACCAAGTCATTGTAAAGTGGTATTATTATTTCATGTGATCTTGATTCTATCATGGTAAACAGAAGGCTTTTGAGGCTTTTCAGTGTCTAATAGCTTTTAAAATCCTAATCTTTCCTTGCTGCCCATATAGTAGATTATTAAGAAAGGTTGCAAACAGCCAGCAATTGTATGCAAATATATGTGAATAAATGCATGGACTGTTTCTAAAAAAGGAAAATATTTTTTCTTCTCTCCATCTTAAAAGAAAAAAAATTGCAAGATTTACGTCAGATCTTCAAGAAGCACAAACCATGTGTAATGTAAGGTTAAAATTGCAGAATATTACAAGTCTGAAAGCCCTTCTCGTTCTTTTACTTTTGCTTTCCAGAAAATTAGGGAGGATCCCTTCTGAGATGCTTCCCATGCCTGTTTTCCTTCTGTGGACTGAGGTACCTTTTGCTTTGGTTGATTGAATTATTGTAATTTGTCTTTCCTGGCATTGTTCTTGAAGACCACTTGGAACTTACAGTTGGTCTAGAATGCAGAGGCATTGGCAGAGCTGTGTGAGCTGTTTCTGATGCAATTTAAGATGCTTGTTATTACCTATAGAGCCCTTCAATTTCATAGGGCCTGGTTACTTAAGAGATTACCTGTTTCCTCTTTATTGTTCCTGGAAACTCTCACTTTTGTAGACTGCAGCTGGGAAAAGGGAAAAAAATACTTGGACTGTTTTATCTGTATAAAGGAGACAATAAACTATTCTGAATTGGCCAGCCTGGATTACAAATATTGATTGACTTTTACCTTCAAGAATTATCAAGAAATATTAAGAAAGTTGCTTCTGGACTATTTCTCTTTGGAAGAAACATGGATAATCAGCAAGAAAATGTAAATGGACTTCAGAAAGAAATTCTTCCCATGTTGAAATCAATTCAAGAGACAATTGTTTTAAATTATGAGAAGACTAAAAATAATTTAAATAACATAAATGAACAACTCTCCAACTTAAACTTACTAGCAAAAAATGTTCAGAAAATGACCATAAAGAATGAACTAGCAACTCAGAAACCAGAAGAAAAAATAGAGAAAACTGATATAAAGATAGAGGATTCGAAAGAAGAAACCAACAGGCAGGTACAAATAAATAAAAATTTGGAAGACCCAGATATAACACCGGAAATGGGAAAGACATTTTACTTTTTAAGACTTCAGAATGTATTTGAGGACAAGGAAGAAGAACTGATAGAATGGATGACAGAGCTGTTAGGAGAAATGCTGAAAACTGGGGAATAAGAAACTAAAAGACAAACTGAAAGAAAATGTAGGCTGTTTAACAAATATAAATGGATTAAACGATTTTACAAAACATTTTAAATAAATTGTCTTTTTTATTCCAAATAATATATACATAAACAGAGGAAGAAATACTTGGTGGCCTAAATACACTGATTTGCAAAATTATTTGGCAAAGGACGAAAGCTAGAATAAGATTGAAGAAAATAGACTGACTAATTAGATGAGGTATTATACCATCTAATGAATGTTTGAATATGATTCAAATAATAGAAAATTGTTAGAAATAAAAGGACCACTATAAATTAGAAGGATGTGATTTGTAACTAGGATAACATAATTTTTATAAGATGGGAAATATGAAAATACTAAGAGAGTCAGTATAAGGGAAGCTTTTAGTTACCCAGATATAATTAATTATGAGAAAAATGATAATTGATAAAGTTATTTTGAATAGTAAAGTTATGCTTAAAATCCTACAAGCTAGACTCCAGCAGTATGTAGATCGAGAACTACCAGAAGTACAGGCAGGATTTCGAAGAGGCAGAGGAACTAGAGATCAAATTGCCAACATACGCTGGATCATGGAAAAAGCTAGGGAGTTCCAGAAAAACATCTACTTCTGCTTCATTGACTATGCTAAAGCCTTGATTGTGTGGATCACAACAAATTGTGGCAAGTTCTTAAAGAGATGGGAGTACCAGACCATCTCATTTGTCTCTTGAGAAACTTATATGCAGGTCAAGAAGCAACAGTGAGAACTGGACACGGAACCACTGATTGGTTCAAAATTAGAAAAGGAGTCCGGCAAGGCTGTATACTGTCGCCCTGCCTATTTAACTTATATGCAGAGCACATCATGAGAAAGGCAGGGATAGATGAATCAAAAGTTGGAATTAAGATTGCCGGGAGAAATATCAACAACCTCAGATATGCAGATGATACCACTCTAATGGCAGAAAGTGAAGAGGAACTAAAGAGCCTCTTGATGCAGGTGAAGAAGGAGAGTGCAAAAGTAGGCTTGAAACTCAACATTAAGAAAACCAAAATCATGGCATACGGCCCTCTCAATTCCTGGCAAATAGATGGGGAAGAAATGGAGGTAGTGACAGATTTTATTTTTCTGTGCTCCAAGATCACCTCAGATGGGGACTGCAGCCAAGAAATTAAAAGACGCTTGCTCCTGGGGAGGAAAGCTATGGCAAATCTAGACAGCATTCTAAAAAGCAGAGACATCACCTGCCAACAAAAGTGCGTATAGTCCAGGCCATGGTTTTCCCAGTTGCAATGTATGGCTGTGAAAGTTGGACCATAAGAAAGGCTGAGTGCCAAAGAATTGAGGCCTTTGAACTATGGTGCTGGAGAATACTCCTGCGAGTCCCTTGGACTGCAAGGCGTTCAAACCGGTCAGTCCTAGAAGAGATCAACCCTGACTGCTCTTTAGAAGGCCAGATCCTGAAGTTGAAACTCAAATACTTTGGCCACGTAATGAGAAGGAAGGACTCACTGGAAAAGGGCCTAATGCTGGGAAAGATTGAGGGCAATAGAAGAAGGGGACGACAGAGAATGAGATGGCTGGATGGAGTCACTGAAGCAGTAGGTGTGAACTTAAATGGACTCCAGAAGATGGTAGAGGACAGGAAGACCTGGAGGAACGTTGTCCATGGGGTCGCGATGGGTCGGACACGACTTCGCAATTAACAACAACAACAATTTTGAATATTGATGGGAAATTAAATTTGGAAAAAAAAGAGGGGAAAAAACAAGATACGGATTGAATAAGGGAACTTTGATTGCAAATACATTTGAGATATGTTTTGGCTAGAGAAAATACTATAAACTGATATTATTGACACTATGTATAACATTAGAAACATGTGATGAAGATGTTTATATTTAATTGTATAGGTATTAATAGCAGTAAGAATTATATTTGCATAGTGTGGAAAAATGATTATTATTGGAATACAAGAGGACCAAGGAAATACTGGATGGTATAGTATTGGATATTTTGAGTGAAAGTTAATATGTACCACTGAATGATAAAGGAACCAGACACCGAGTTGTTTATCAAGTACTTATGGTTGTAAAACTTGAAATTAATAAAATATTTATAAAAAGAAAAAATTCCTTTTCCTTTCCCCTCTACCCAATAACTCTACAGGCTAGAACAAAATTTCATACTATGCCACTTTCCTTTACCATATGTTCCAACCTGTAGAGGCTGGCTAAATAAAGTATCCATGGATTTGCTGCTCATTATAAAATGCAGGAGAATGCAATATGCAAAATGGCAAGAACGTTCACATTTCATACATATGTGGAGGTCGGACAATTCAGCTCATTGTGAATAATGTGGACTTATTTTACCACAGAATTTTTATTTGTTTCCTGGGAATTTCAGTTGATATTATAAAGCAAGTCTAATCTAGTTAATGGTAGTGCTTGTCCAAGATCAAAACACTTGGTACATTTATTGAGAATAAACCACACTGAGCAATGTGGTAATAACTTCCAATAAAGACACCTAGCTGTGGGCTATGAATTCTGCTGAAAGCTCTGGGCACTTCAGCCATTACCAATTTGTTACTCTGATTTTAATGGGGCAGTCACAATAGCTTTCTTGGACTGTAGCCAAGACTTCACATACCAAGTGTTTTCAAAATTACAAACTGCCATGGAAATTTAAGAAATTGCAATCATATGTAATCATACCTTAATCCACCTCTCACTGTACGTAACTTATTATGTAGCACAATTAGTCCCCCTGGGTGAAAAAGCCCATTGCCATCTGCATGAAAGACTAATCCAGTCAGTGCCATGGACAACAAAGGCAAAGTCACACTGGCTGCAGGTGGGAGAATTGGTTTTGGCAGGGAGACCGCCCTCGAAGCATCAGAAATGTTAAAGTCTCACTTCTCTTTCCCAGCTACAAAATAAGCAGACTCAGAAAAGTTATCTACTATAATGTTTATTAAATAGTACTTTTAAAAGGCTTTTATACAAATCATAGAAACACAGTTTGGGTTTTCTTTAAACACTGAAGAATCACAGTAAAAGCTTTAAAGTCCACATGATCTCTGGCACAGCCAGTAAAATGATCAAACTACCTTGAGCTGGTAAGATATGCAAAATCCTGTTTCCTGCATTCCCCCCCCCCCCTTACTCCCCACGCTTTCTTGTTGACATCTCCCTAGAAAGCAAAGACCAGCTGTACTGCAGTGCTCCTACTGGCCATGGTGAAGCTGACCATGGGAGGCAGGAAGGCAAGCAGGCAGGGAGGGAGATGGCAAGCAATATTTCAGCAAAGGTACTGGTAACACTAGGCTGCATTTCTTTGTCTTTTTGAAAAAGAGAGAGGTTACTAAAGAACATGGATCATCAAGCACAACATACATTTGCAGATGACAACATACTGACATGAAAATATGCACCTTTTCTTTTCTTTTTTCTTTCACCCTATGAAAAATACAATCAAACACCATTTTCTGCATTAGAACATTAGTAAAGCACCCAGCACAGAGGTAGGTGAGGTATCAGCTATGCAGCATTATGGCCGGTTTCTGCTCACTGAGCGCACACACAACAAAGCCCCTGTACCTGCCAACATAGAATACAAAGTGTGTGGGACTCATGCCATTTGCTCTGCCCTCCCGGCTGAACCTATGCTGAGGGCCTCCATTAAAGATACAAGAAACCCCACATAGCCACTCACATATATAATACATACAGAGAACTCACAAGCACGCGCAAACACATATACATTGTAATATATGTATACACGAACTCTCACTCTCTGTATGTCTACTACAGACAGCAACACTACTTTTTAATATATCTATATCATCTCTGAGGTCTTCCTTCATCCACCATACAAGTATAAGAGAAATACGTATGGGACCCTATCCACCTATGCTTTATTCTTCCACTGAAAACCATGGAGAGCTCCAGAGATAAGCCTTAGCTGGCTCGTGGACCTTTCTTCAACATTGGTAGCAATAATCAGGAAGGGGCCCCTGTAAAATTGGATGGTCCACTCTATAGTTCAGTTTAGAGTGGGCTGAAGTGTATCTATATATGGTATACCTGGATAGATACAGTCATTATTCTGTTAGAGCAAGGCTGCTTTTAAGGCAGTGCTTTTGAAATGTCCTACTACCAGGGTACTTTATGCTGACTTCTGCAATGGAAACCCAGAAGCACATAAAACTAAACTCTTATATAGAATTGGGGGCAATATTCCAAAGTATTCTCCAGGACATGAGGCACTTGCTAGCCAGCTGTTTGCTCTGTGTGAATAGTGGCTATTCCAAAACTCTTGATGCTGCTATTCATTTTAGGAATGATGGATGGCATCTTGCCCATGCTGCTTTTCAAGGGCATATATTTTTATAGGTAGTCCTCAATTTACAACCGTTCATTTATTGATTGTTCAAAGTTACAACGGCACTGAAAAAAATGACTTCTGAGCATTGCAGCATCTCCAGAGTCATGTGATCAAAATTCGGAGGCTTGACAACTGGCATGTACTTCAGCAATGGCTGAAGAGTCCTGGGATTGCCATTTGCGACCTTCCCAGCCAAGCAAAGTCAATGGGAGAAGCTGGATTTGCTTAACGACCATGGCAAAAAAAGGTTGCAAAATCAGCTGTGACTCACTTAATAATCATCTTGCTTAGCATTGGAAATTCTGGTCCCAGTTGTGATCAAGGACTACCAGTAATATTATTTCTTTCAATGAGTTGCTCCTGTTGGTTTTCTGTGGACACAATAGTGCGAAAATCAATGCTTTAACATCCTAGTCTATCACAGAATTAAATGCACCCAAATGAGCTGCACTAAGCACACCTAAACCTGTACAGAATTGTGACTTCAATGTGTTAAAGTGAAAGTAAGTGCCTTGTTCATATCCTTGCACACAGGTGGTTATCACCACACAAACCAAACATTCTAGACATTCAGCTTGGTAAGCATGCATATAAAACTGTTCAGAGGAGCATTTCATAGTCTGCATGACAGTAGATCCTATATAAGTAGGATAACTGTGCAAATCCTCATTTCTATACATGTGTACATATATGACACATGTGTACCCAAAGGTGTACCATTACATTCACAAGTAGCAGTTTAGAAAAGCATTCCTGCGAAGTGTAGCCAGTGAAATGTCTTTAACAATTACTGACAATTAGGTACGTTCCTAGAAAAGAGCTTTGCCAGCACAACATCACAAAGATGAAGCTATATCAGCATCATAATATTGTCATTGAATACCAAACTATCATACTAAGCTATCAGGTGTCATTCCTCAAATTACCACTTTTTTTTTAAACTGCTTATCCAATCTGTTTAATTTGGAAAACTTTCCACATCTCAGTCACTATGATTTTTCCCAAAAAAACCTGTGGCTTGAAGACTGCTGCCAAGAGCTGAACAAAAGGCATTGGAAACTGAACGTTGGTACGTAAACTGGTCTGCAACACACTTCAAGCATGGCACAGCACCCGTGGAAACATTAGATATATATTTGACTATCTGAAAAGACAAAACTCTACCCAGCAGAGATCTGATGGTAATGAAGAAGTGAAAGAGGAAGAGGGACAAGGAGAAACATTGAATGCCTCAGTTGTATTTTGTTACGTCACACATCTCTAAGGGAAAAATATTTTTCTAAGGCACTTTATTAAAAAAAAGTCAAATACATATTCGCACAAAGCCCTTCAAAAATAAACAAGTTGCCATGCAAACCACAACCAGCAAATTGCATTTTTCTGAAGGAAGAAGAAGGTGACAGAAGATTGCTCCAGATCCATTTTTTCAACATCCACACTAGAATATCAGCTTAACTTTGATACCCTGCAATGTTGCCATAACCTTAGGTTTCCAATGTCTGGGTCCTCCCAAAGTGACCTGAATCTGTCAAGGACCGATACCATTGCCAGACAGCACCACACTTATGAATCTGCTCAAAAGGTACATTAGTTTAGAATCCTTCGCAGAAAAAGTAAGTCCTTATTAACTAATGATGACATTAAATCATATCTTTCAGTGAGAGGTATCATTGCCACTCTGTGATGGGCTGAATAACTGCATTTACTCCACAAGCCTTTTAATACTTTTTTTTCCCTCATCAGAGTGGACACAGCATTAACAAAATATATTTCTCTTTCTATCTATCTAGCAGCCTGTCTTCCTCTTGAAGTATATAAAAAGCCATCTCCTGAGTTCTTGGGCACCTTATAATTGTGTCTTTTGTTTGCTGCAATTTTCTTACACTAAAAAAAAAAACAAGATTAAAAAAGAGGGTCAGAAAGAAAAGGAGGAGAAAGAGCCCTTGTGATGAAGGCCTCTGCTGTTTCAGTCCAAGATCTGGATTTAATAAATGGCTCTTATTCACAAACCACTTTAAGGCTCTTCAGCTTCTCTGGAGGAGATGCTTCTGTCAACTTTCACACCTTAGGCAGCCTGTTTCTTTTGTTGGTAATCCGAAAAGAAAGCGCTTTTCCTGCTGACCTATGCGCCAAATCCTTCCGCCCTCCCCCCCATCTCCAATCCCTGCCACTCCTCTTCTGATTGGTGAAAGGGAGCCACACGGTTTCGTTGGATGGGGTGGGGGTGCGAGATGGGGGGGCTGTTGGAAGCGGCTGCAATTTCCTGGACTTGTTTCACACACACACCCCAGCACCGAGACAGTCCTTTTTAATCAAGCACCATTTCTGACAGGTGATTTACTGGTTGGGGCACGCGGGTACCTGTGTGTGCGAGCAAGCGTGAGATTATAATTCCTAAGACTAGAAAGGGGAAGGGGCCATTTAGCAATCTCATCCGAAGAAGGAAATGGCAAATAATTATCCACATTTTGTCCCTTGCTTCCTCAAAACCAAGTGGATCTTTTGCCTTCCTCAGATGGGATTGACTCATAGAAGAAACAAAATGGAGAGCATGGCGGCTCCTTCGTTTGAGCCTACCCAGTTCTTCCTGCAAGAACAATTGCCCATATTTCTTACAACATCCTCTTCCAACTTTCTTCCTGCTGCTGCTTTCTTCTTCTTCTTCTTCTTCTTCTAAACAACAGCAACCCCCACCCCCGTCCCTTCAGCATTCCAGCATGGGCTTGTGTAAAATTATGGCATTCAGTTTCCATAGAAAAAGTAATCTTCCCCAGCCATGACTGCTGGAATGAAATGTCAAATGTGATTTCAGTGCAATCAGTCATGCCTCAGAGCAACACTTTTGGTGGTTCATTTTGACCTTGTGTTTGATACCATCATAAAGCTCGAAGTTATAATTTTCCAGAGTGGTAGAGCTCCGGGAAGAGAGGCTAGTGTAGTAACAGGTGCAGTACAGTAGTAGCCCAGCACAGATTGCCCCTAGAAGGACTCCTAGAGAACTCATGGCTATGATCGTAACCAGGATGGGGTCCAGAGTATATAGCCAGTTCTTCTCTGTGTCCACCAGTGGAGTCAATGGGGAGTTTGTAGAAAGCATGGTGTGGTTTCTGTCCAGGTCTATGGCATCTGAAATGCAATGGGAAGCGAGAGGTTATCAGAAAAGCAGTCTTGGGTGGGACTAGTGAAAGAAATGCCCTTGAGGGAGAAGGACCCCCATGGAGGGGCCAGCTTCTAGAACAGCTTTGCTGGCTGAGGAATTCTGGGAGTTGAAGTCCACAAGTCTTAAAGTTGCCAAGGTTGAGGACCCCTGTTCTAGAATATCTGTCTTTATCTGAGTTTAGCTGGAGGACAGGCCTTACATGCCCTTTAACCAAACTGTCACTGGGATTGTAGGAGATCTTCTCCTGTATAAACTTATAGGAAGGTTAAAATGTCTGAAGCTAAAGGGTCTAAAATACTTTTAATTAAACACTGTTGCTTTGGTAAATACACTGTAATTCTTTTTAAACATATCCTCACAACTTTCTTTACTAGTGGGACTCTTGCTGGCGCTCTTACTTTCTCAAGCCACATGCAACAGGGAGCTTCTGTCTCCTACATGGAGACATAAGGTCAATATTCACAGTTTCAGCCTTACCTCCAATTTGCATCACTTTATAATATTTTCCCTTCCTGCTGTTTGAAAGAAATGCTCTGTGGTTTTACTTTAGCGAAAAAGACTTAAAGAACATGATTTTGTTTGCATCCCTAGTGAAACAAATTATATCTTTTAGTTGCCAAATGTTTCCGTTGCCTAATTTGTCCCCAATTCATGCTCCAGCTAAAGCTTTACATTTCTCTTCCTCTAGATCCATCACATCTGAAGGATGCTAATTTTGTAATGGTGAGAAAATACCAGAAGGCTGGCAGGGAAGCATAGGGAGCATATATGTTTAGTAACAATTATAGAATAACTTCTCCAGGCCTTGAGGAAGGAGTATTTTAGATATTAACTTGCTGTATTCCAACTTGTTCTATATCTGAGAAAAGATATACTTGATGTTTTTGCTAAAGCAGTGTGTGTGTGGGGGGGGGGGGAAGGATCCTTCCTCAATTTGCTCTTCTCCCTGATTGTCAGAGTTCTCTGATCTTGCACCTGACACATGCAACTGTGCCAGTATCCACCCACCAATTAATAGACAGAGTTCTCGCAATTAACAAGCCCTATTTTGTGTAGTGCACATGCTAATTAGGATTATACAATGTGAAGGTAAAACATACCCTAAATATGAGACCAACTACTCTTAAAATACTGTACTTTGTTTCTATACCCTAAACATGACTTGTGTAGCCAGAGGTAAGGACTCACATACACATCCGTACCAATTCTAAAGCAAACTGATTTAATCCACTTACATCAGATTCATGAATGGCTTACTTGTGGCTAAGCAATAATTTGCTTTTCAGAGAATCATAGAAAGCAGAATTGAAACTTGACTACAGAAGCAGGGAACATCTTGCTACTCACCGTCTTCAGAGTCTTCTCCAAAGTCTTCCCCATGAATTGAAACCTCATCCTCCAATTCTGGGAAATCCACTGGAATGAAAAAGATGTTGCAAAATGTCTAATTCAAAAAACAGGAACAAGATACACTTCCCCTTAAATAAATACACACGTTTCAAAAAAATATTTTTTTCAAGGCCAAAGCTAATATCCATTCATATTTATTAGCATACTATGGGAATTACATGCATCACTGTAACTTTTTTTATATTATAGTAAGTTCTATTTTTCTACCACTTGCAGGGAAAATGAGATTTGGAGGAATAAAACCAGATAAGACTGATTATTACTGAAGGAAGCTTCTTTATAATTGCTATGCTTCATTAATAGCATGATCACATTTCCACAGTGCCCATTGTTAGTACACCATCAATGAGGCATCCATGTCATCATCTGACATACATCTCAGTAGAAATAAAGCACAAATGACCACTTTCCATATGGGTATCAAATGCCGTATATGGAAGCCATATATCATCATTATATATATGATTGTAAAAGCCAGATTAAGTTAGTAAGACAAGAATTCCATAAATGCCTTCAGATATTCATGCAAATCGTTCTTATAAGTCTAACTTCTTATAAGCTACTTCCTTTTCATTGTGCCCTCTAAGGGGTCCTTGGTGTTCTCTGAGCTTGCTTGTTTTCTTGCAGATGTTTCATTACCCTATTACCAGTGCTAGTAAGGAGTACAGTTTGCTGTCAGTTTATATTGTGGTGTCTTGACTGTGTGTTGGTCTTAAGGATTCTTTGGTTGGACTGTTTACTAATGGCTCCTTCATTGTTGCCTTTGTTACCCTCAAACTTCACATTTATTGTCCCACACATTCTTCTCCCTTCTTATTTTATTTATTTATTCCTTCCATATCGCCCACTTCTGACTGCCTCCCTCTCTTAGCAGCTGTTTCCATGCTACCTGCTTCAGGCTATTTACTCTGAGTCTGGAAAAATCAGGATGGTGACAGTCAAAATGGATTTCTCTGGCAGTTTCCCTTTTTACTTGGTTTCATTTTTCTGCTTCCCCAGATTTCCATGCTACTTGCTCAATGTTTATGTAATCTGCTCAGATTTTTTTTCACTTTCCTCTTGGAAGTAGGGATGGAGGATTTTGTATGTGTCCCTGCCCACAGGTACATGTATTCTCCAGAGAGAAGTAATGTTTATATATCCAGCTTCTTTTTTGGAAGACAGAGTTTGCAAGTTAACATTTTTATATCTACCCTCCTATCTAATTTGATCAAGTGACAGTTATATATATATATATATATATATATATATATATATATATATATATATATATGCCTAAGCAATGCTACCTGGGCTATTTACTCCTGGAAAAATCAGTGGTTCAAAATGGATTTCTCTGGCAGTGGTGCGATTGGCTCAATGTTCTGCTCAGATTTGGACGTACCTCCAGCGCTTCATTTGCTTAACAGATCAAGTGACAGTTATATATATATATATATATATATATATATATATATATATATATATATATATATATATCTTTGGTTTTCGGGTTTTCTCCCGCGTAAAATTGGAAGTGTCTTGGCGACGTTTCGACGAAGTCCCATTCTCATCTTCAGGCTGGTGTTTTCAGCTTCGTGCTTTGAGCAGCAATGTGTGGTCTTAGCTGTTTCTTCCTTTTAACTGCCAGTGGGGGTATGAACTGATTGGGTGGGAGCTTGGCTGTGTTCTGATTGGGTGGAGGTGTGTTCTGATTGGTTAGGGGCTTGGCTGTGCTCTGATTGGCTGGGGGAGTGTTCTGTTTGGGCGGGGGCTTTGTTGTGCTCAGGTTAGTCTGAGTTGCAGGGGGACTTAAGATGGTGGGCTGCCTTGTTATTTTTTGGCTTCGCATTCGTGGTCATGCCTCATCTTCATGGTGGGTGTCAGTTTGCTTTATGTATGGATTGGAGGGCTTTAAAGTGGCTAATGATGCAGCTGTGGTCTGGCTTCTGGTTTGTGGTCGTGCCTCATCATTGATGTGGCTTTGGGTTTGCTTTTTGCGTGGATGTGTGGTGATGACATCCTGTGTGGTCTTTTGTCTAGTAGCCAATTCACATAGCCTCCTTCAGTGTGTATGGAGAACGAGGTACAACAGTATCCCTCCTACTCCAGCAACATCCAGACTTCAATAGCTATTGAAGTCTGGATGTTGCTGGAGTAGGAGGGATACTGTTATATATATATATATATATCGATGAATAGGAGAAACATTAACTTAACAAATGGGGTACTATAAATTTTATAGATAGGATGAACTATCTCAGGGGTTTTTATGGAAATTATATGATTTTTCAAACTAATTTGACAGACTTATGTCTATTTTTTTAGTAATTATAGTTCCTTGGGAATTTATATATTTATATATTAAAAAGAGAATTGCCCCATTTTAAAAAATAATCTTATGTCTGCAATGGGGGAGGACATTAAACATTCTAGTATATTTTAAAAGTTGACTTTTGTACCTGGATCGTTTGTGGGTGGGCATTAAATACAATAAGCTGGCAGGAAGGGGAAATTGAGTTATACTTCCTTATTAATTTTCTACTCTTCTGTCATTGCAGGGATTCTATAAACATGATTTATACATTTGTTCATCAATTAATTTTATTCAATTTTCTTAATAGTCCATCCACTTTTTGGACCTGGCATCATTCATTTTGGCAGTAAGGCCCCAAGCATTTTTAGCATAGGATGTTTGGGGCCTTTGGCCCTATGAAGATGTAAGGATTAACTGTAGTTGTATAGTAGACATTTTGTTTTTGTTTTGTTTTACTCCAGGGCAATATCTCACATTTTTAAGGATAACAAAGTTTAGGCATGAACATACATGTAATCATTGGTGCACTCAATACTTGATGGCTCACAACTGATGACAGCAATTCTATCTGTTTAATTACAGAAAAGGCCACAATCATGAATTCTTCCCTCCTTTGGAACTGACCTAGGTTGCAATAATTAGTGATTATCTTCCTTCCATTCTTCTTGAAGTAGAGAGAGTGTTCTTCCTCCCTGTAAGAGTTCTCTCTCAGCTAATAAAAACAGACAGCCCTCCCCTTCTTACAGAATTAGTATAACTTAAACAAACGTCAATCTATACCGTAGCCAGTTGGGACTAACATGTGAGGATTGCTGCCACCACAGTGACAGTGTTGGGAATGAGGAAGCAACTATTGTAGCATCTTGATTTATGGGCACTTTCCCCTAGATTAATCTTTGGTTGATGTTGAATCATCAGACACTGAAGTTGTGTGTGTGAACACAACTGAAGCTCAACTGCCTTCATGAATAAATCCAATCAACAAATGTGCTACATTTTTATTCTTTAGTGTCAGAAATGAAATCACACAACACTGTCCCTATCATTTGGGGGGGGGGTATTCTGCTGTTCAGCATGTTTCACACAAGTTGAAACACAAACAAAAAACAATCAGCTGACAATTTGTAAGGCCAATGAAGTGAAACATGAATCTGTGCTTGACAAGCATGGCACAAACAAATGCCTCCCACAGAAGGTGGTGATACAACATTCGGGAATTACAAGCAATTATTAAAATTACAAATGTACTTGCCACAAGAAAACTAAACCTGAACTGCTATGCAGAAATGTGTGAGGGGCTCTGTTACTGGTACAGGCCTTGCTAAGTATGCCTGAAAAACAAAACAGTCCCAAGCAGGAGCAAAAAAACAAACCCAAAAAAACCCAACAGCAGTAGTTCAACAACAGCTTGGAGGACTGGGTTTTCAAATCACCCTCAAGGCCATATGGAGACATTTTGCTGCCTCAAGCAGAGTCCGGAGGGTACCCTCCCCTGCCACAGCCAATGTTCGGCTGTGCTGCAACATTTAAAATGGAGCTAGGTTGAAATTTTATCTTGCTTCCCCCCCCCCCCCGCTTTCTTTCTACCAATTGTTATTCAACAGAGTAAAAGAATTAGGAATTCTTTTTAAACATTATCATGAACAGGATGAAATTCCCTTGCATTTAGTGATAAGGTGGGCAAGGGGTAGGTGTGTGGTAGATCACCATTTCTGCAATGACCCACAGCCATTTTGATTTCAAACAATTCCAGTAAGGGAGAAACTATGAGAGAACTCCCTCCTGTTCTCTAGGGCTTTTTCTGAAGGCTTCCCAGGGTGTGCCATTCCTCTGAGAAATATCAGCGAACAACACAAACAGCACCCTCCACATCACCAGCAATGAAGCTTAAAACAACCACCAAGTGCCATTTGGAAGAATGTCTCAAAGCCTAAAAATAGCATAGAATAATAATAATAAAAAAACCAGATTCCTGTGCCTCAAGGGTGGGGAGGAAACTTCTAAGACATCAAATTTTATAGAGCATTCATGTAGAACACAACTCTTGTATTACATCTCTGGGGTTGTTGGCAGCAGAATCACTTTGTCCCACTGAACAATCAGCACTGTTTCCATTGTAATATGTTCTGTCAAATGCTTGGCCCCAAGATTTTGAAACTGCAATGCTGGTGCAGTCCCTCAGCTCTCGAGCCTCGCTCTTGCACAGAGCCGTCTGGTGAGGAAAGCGACGCTTGGCAGTCCACTAAAAGAGCCTTAGCACTGAATGGAAAATCCATAGCTGAGTATGGAGCAGGATCCTATCAAAGGCATCATCCAGCTGTGAATGTTTTGTGTTCTGATTGTGTGTTTTATTCCTCTTTCTGAATATTTATCCTTTTGTTCTCTTACAGTGTTAGAATGCCTGTTAATATTGTATGCTACTCAATGTTGTTCAGGAGACTAGTAGCCTTCAAAATCTGGTAACAAACAAGCCAACAGTCAGTATTAGCAGCCATTGATCACCTGAATTCTCCATGAACCTGTCCAATCCTATTTTTAAACCAGCCAGATTGGTTCCCATTATCACAACTGCTGGCAGCAAATTCTATCAATTACCTATGCATTGTTTGAAAAAAACATTTCCTTCTTGTGTCTCATGAATCTTTCAGAATTTACTTTCAGGGGATGTCCTCAGCTTTGAACATTGTGAACACAAAAGTTCTTTTTCATC